ATCATGTTCATGTGCAGAAGCTTTTTAATCTGATGGCATCTCATTTATCCTTAGTTTTATTTCTGGTTTAGGAATTTTATGATTTAGGAAGTCAACACCTGCCCCTACATTGATGGAGTGTTGTCCCTATGTTTTCTTATAACAGTTTCAAGATATCTGACCTAATTCCTAAGTCTTTGATGCATTTCAATTTGACTTTTGTGCAGGGTGTGAGATAGTGTGTGTGCAGGGTGTGAGATAGGAATCTAGTTGCATTTTTTACATATAGCTATCCAGTTTTCCCAGCACCATTTTTTTTAAAGTCTCTTTTTATCAACAGATATTTTGCCAACTTTACCAAGTGTCAGATGGCTATAGGTATGTGGATTTGTCTCTGTGATTTCTATTCTGTCCCATTGGTCTTCATGTCTTTTAATGGTGTCCCAGAGATTTTGCATGTTCCCTTTATTCTGTCTTATTTTTTTCTTTATTACTATCAGAAGGTAATATGTACTAAAGTTGACTTCAAACTCTTAATATTCTTTCTCCAGCTTGATCTAATCTGTTTGATGAGGCTTTCAATTGAGTTTTTAAAAATCTGATTTGTTGATTTCTGTTTAGTTCTTTTTCAAAGTCTCTCTTTATTGAATTGCTCATTCATATCCCACATTGCCTTCTTGAATTTATTTAATATTCGTTTTGTGTTCTCTTGGATTTACTTGAGCTTTCCTGAAAGCATTCCTCTGAATTCTTCATCCAGCATTTTACCATTTTGATATCTTTTTAAAAAAAATTTTTAGATGTTAATAGGCCTTTTTATTATTTATTTATTTGTATGCAGTGCTGAGAATTGAACCCAGTGCCTCACACATGCTAGGCAAGTATTATACCACTGAGCAACAACTCCAGCACCACCTTGATATCTTTTTAATTTGTTACTATGCATTATGAATCTTAGGAGGTGATATTACTATGTTTATAGATATTTCTAATTTTTCTATGTTGAGATATGTGCATCTCTTGGGATGAAACTCTCTTAGGTTTTTATGTGGTATTCTTCATTTTACGTGGATTTCTTCTCTTAATGTGACTTGTAATTATTAGTTTATCATGTAATGTTGAGTTTATTTCCAACTGGGCTCTATGGTATAATTTCTCTGTAGCGTCTTTGTTGTAGTTCTTGGCTTTGGACATAGAACATGCTGTATTAGAGTATGAAAGGTCCACTGTCTCTGCAAGTCCTGAGAGTAGGGACACTCTGGAACATCAGGAATATATGGCGTAGGCAGCAAAGTATGTGGGATGTGTCCTCTGTGGTTATTTCTCTTATGGGAGATTTCCATTGGGGATTTCCACAGGCACTGTTGACAGAAGTTCTGTTTGAAAGTGATTCTGATGTGTGTTTCTGAACTCTTGTTAAAAGGTTGAACTCTCGTCTTCTGATTGGTGACTGGTGTAGATGTAGGTAATTTATGGGGAGGAAACTGGAATCAGAGCTTCCCCTCGTTGGACCTCCCCTTCAACCTTTTCACCCCTATGCAATTAGACCATATGCAGCTACAATCTATGTAGAGATCCCCTCATAGACTCAATGTCAGCCACTGAGTTTTTTTCTCCCTGTAGTTACTGTGGAGGTATCTGCCCAGGCGCTGGACCTCAGCCTCCCACTAGCTATGCCTACCAAGGAGGGTTTGATATCTGGGAGCTTATGTTCTTTTTGTGTGTGTGTTTTTTTTAGAAGGTATTTAAATAAATATTTTCTTTAAGTAAAATTTTGAATGGGACTGGATTGTGGTTGGAAATGGGCTTAATTCTTTTTTGCTGAGTTGGGAGTATAACTCAAAACTAAGCAATTACCCCGTGTTCATGAGGCTCTGGGTTCCATGCCCAGCACCAGAAGGAAAAAGAGAGAGTTAAAAGACTAAGAAATAAAAATTAATCATTGAAATGAAGAAAATAAGTAGAAAGGAGAACAAATAGTAAATAATAAAAATAGAAATTAAAAAAAATGAGAAAGGGAAAAATCAAATCTTAAAAATTAAATGAAATAAAATAAAATTAAGAAAGTAAGAGTATATTGAAAATTAAAAATAAAATAGTAATAGTAATAAAAGACAGAATAGACAGAGAAAAAAACTGAGTCAAAAATTTCTCCTAGGCAAGATGTTTGGAGACTCAAATAAGAGAAGCTGATAGCAGGCCATGACAAGCTAATCTCTCTGGGTCTTCTAAATTTAGAACCTGCCTAGTATGGTGGGGTGGGGGTAGTGTGTTGAAGCTACAACTTATGAAAATTCTTCCCAGCTCACACCAGGGTAGAAGCTGTGTCAGGTGTTTCTTGCCCAGTGGGTTAAGACAGAACCTTGGCTGTACTAGGGGTATATTCTCTCTGGAGGTTTTCAGTCTGTGTACCTAGGGAAAGGGCCAGTTCCAGGGCTGTGACAGGTAAGTCTCTCCATGACACCTTTGGTGTATATATCTGTTCTGCAAGTTTTTAATCTGTGCATCTGGGGTATGGTAAAGGTCAATGCCTCAGAGATTGAAAGAAGAAATTGAACCACTGAGTTCTGTGCTAGAGAAGGGGTTGTGGGAACACAGCAGTTGACTATCCTCAAGCCCTGTGCCTTCAGTTCTGGCCCCCACATGAAACCACATGTGACTGGTTTCCCAGCCAGAGGGCAGGTTCATTAATACCACTGATTCTAGAGAGCATAGTCTTCCAGTCCCCTCCCTGTCACAGCCTGCACTCTCCACAGCATAAGATGCTCTGCAGGTTTGTCTCAGAGGCACCCCCAAGCCACGAATGTCTCGTGTAGCCACAAACTTCCCAGCCGATGCAGCAAGGTGTTCATGGGGACCCTGAGATATGATTATGCCAGATTTTCTGAACAGAAGAGCAGGGATTCTCAGACAATAATAGGACCCTTCTCAAGATGGCTCCTGGGTACAGCACTCTGAGAGATGCAGTGAAATGTCAGGCGAGTTTCTTGTGCAGACTCTAGGTTACTTGCTCAGTTAAGCTGTTTATCTGCAGGGTGTATAGCCTTCTGCATCATGCTGTGACTCTGTCTTTCACCTTTACCCTTCTGGAGGGGACAGTCAACCCTTTTCTCCCAACCAATATGCCAAGTAGTAGGTACTGGGGTATTTTTGCCTCTCTTGCTTTGTTATTCTCCCTACTCTCTGAATTTCACCAGAATACATTTTCTCTTCTGTCACTTTCCAGTGGTCACCTGTAGCCACCCACTTCCTCAAGCAATTCACACCTGTTCTTTGTTTTTCCCACTGAGGAGCTGACTAGTGCTGGGTGCCTCTACTCAGCCATCTTCCCAACTCTGTTTTGTCATGTTCTTAAATCATGTTGCCTTCCAAAACACATCTACAAAGAGGATATGTCCTGCAGGTGACCAGCTTATACCTACAGAGTAAATTCCTACAGTCTAAGTTGTACTTCAGTGTCCTTCTTTACACACAAAATAGCTTGGATTGAAATCTCCTGGAGAGCACCAACCCTGATATCTAACTTCTATCTCACTCAGAACCCAACGCAGCACCAAAGAGCATGTTGCTCATTTCCCTTCAGGGACAGTACTAAAATCTGAGGCTGAGACTGTTCTTCTCCACTCATGGCGGGTGAGTCATACCTTCCCATGGATTCCCTGAAGATGATGGTTTTCTGTCAGTGTTTTCCATGGGTCCTGATCCCAGATTTCATTATTTAAAATTCAGCAATAGAAGAGTGTATGTCCTTCTTCTCTTTCAACCCAAACTCAAGAGTGCCCCTCAGCCTTTCAGATATTGGGAAATCATGTTTTACATTTTGGGAATATCTGAGGACAATTCCATTTGGAAATTCTCATTTCTGCTACCTGCACTTTTCACTCTTGGAGCATAAGTCCTTCTGGATACAGAGCCAAGGACACATTCTGGCTGCTTAAAGTATCCTCTAGTTTGGACATTCGCAAGTGTATGAATTAGGAGAATTGACCTTTATATCCTTACTCAATTTATCAATATGAGTTGATCCTTTGCTATGGTCTCCCTTAGACCCTAAGCACAATCTAGAAAGGCTGCACCTGATGTAATCTCTCTTCCCTTCTGTTGGGCAGCTTTATGCATTTCTTCTCCAAAAAAAAGCAGCTCTTTAATAAAGGAGTTAGCTGGAGATCTACTTAGACACTTGGTTATCTCTGGTCCTCCAATAAAACTGTCTTCCATTTATAAATTTGATTCAGCTACTAATTAAGAGAGAAATATAGCTATGATACATTGACAATTTTATTTCTCAGATTTAGTATTTGACATCTTTATTCTTGAGTAAAATCTCAGCAAAGCACATGAAAATATCAATTTTTGACTGTAAATACTCATAAGATGCAAACCTGATATGCATGCACTACTCTAGGTTCTCAATGATGACTGAATTTAAGCTACAAAATAAGCCACTTGTAAAAAATTAGGTAGTTGTCTTGTGATTGGAAGGTAAGCCCTGATACAGGAGGAAGCAGGATGTTTTCCAGTCTTCAAATGCAGGTGACCAGCTTATACCTGTATGAACAGGGAAATCAAATGCTTTTCTGTAATACTGAAAAACTAACTCTTGCAGATGAAACCTTTCCATGATTCTTTCCATAAGAGGAGTCCAAAGTGCTGTGGGTGGTCATCCCAGGGGAAGTTTAATAACAATTCCTACCGGTATAAGTCAGTATTAATACAATTATTAAGTTGGTGAACTAGGAGCAGAGATGGCTTAAGTTAAAAACAAATAAAAACTTATCAAGTGTTTAAGAATCTATTATTTGTCCAGCATTGGCAAATGATCTGTGATAGACTCAAAAGATATATAATCAGACACTGTTTCAGTCCACAGACATTTTAAAGCTCTAAATGGGATTCATAGTCAAACTCCTCCTACCTACTCAGGAACACATGTCAGGCCTCACCCTCACCTCCCCTGTTTATTGTCTGGAAATATTTTGAACATTCTGCTTTTCAGTCCAAATGCCCTCACCATTCCCTGGTTACAGCTGTTCCTGAACAGTTTCTGGTTGTGCAGAATGAAGGCAGAACTTCTCAGTGGCACCACAGGAGGCTTTCTTCTCTTGGGAAAGCCCCAAGCTGCTACTTCTCTTGATGAGCTGACTCTGTCCCTGCCACTGATGGCTCTCTTGTCTGAGGTCTGGGCACAGCAGCAGAAGTCGATCTTGGCCTGCCAGCTGGTATCTGAGCAGCTGCTCTTGGGCTGCCTTCCAGTTCCCACTCTCCTGCAGGTACAACTGCTGAGAAGGAGACCCCGGAGCACAAGTGTGCCTCTGGGATGTGACACCGGTAATACTGGGAGCAGCCGTAGCAGCCACTTCCTCTGGGACAGTGTGGCTGCTCACCTTCCTTCTGGACACTCCGTCCAGGGCATGGTTGGGAAGCTGGTTCAGCCTGCCCAGCATGACCTTCATTCTCAAATCTGTGGAAAGAGAAATAGGGGAAGAAATCATTTAGTTTTTAATCAGTTGATAACATATTTTGAATATCTAGGAATCTTGACAATATATTATCAACTAATTAAAGGTTGAATTATAACTGATGATCAATTTCCAAATACCTTTAAAAACACTTTTTCCTAAAATAAGAGTACTGTATCCCACACCCAAGTTGTAATTAACCATCCAATAAGTTTGATAATATGTCTTCAAAAAAACCCCACTTTTATGATGTTATTAAATAAACAAGGATTTTAAGTGTAAGCACAGAGCTTAAATTTGATATATAGACTTTAGGCAGGTCTAATTATTGGGAAACCCACACCCATATTAAGAAATGTGAACCTGAAAAATCAGTCTTATCTAGTATTTTGGCTTGTACACCAAATTTACAATTTAAACCTCTTTGATTTTATAAAAATGAATGTAAACATAGGTGGAGCTAATATAAATATATGAATACATTTATGAGCATGTGCATGTTTGGTTGTATAATAGTGGAAGGAGAGAAAGTGAATTGTAATTTAGTCATGAAGTTAGTGTTCTTATCAAATTCCCCTTTTTTTTTCTGGGTGGCTGTGTGACTTTCATTCCACCTCTTAGTCTGTCATGGCTTCAATTGTAAAATTTCATATTATTATCAGTCGTTACTTAATTTACTAAAATTTCCTTCATTTTAGTAACCTTAGTTATTATTTTCTTTCATTGAGATTTCATTTGTACTTTAGTTTTCTTATTAAACATAATTAAAAATTAACTCAGAAGAGTACAATATTGGTAAACTAATGATTTAGGCATTTTTTTTTTCTAATCTGGCCTAATTCTTGGAAGTGCACTATTATATATATACACACACTTAATACTGTGATCATGCTCCAAGTAAATGAGTTAAGTAACTTCTCACATTACTGGAGTAGTAAATGATGATGAACTAAGAATACATAGAATTTTAGTGATATCATAGTCAGAATTACCAGAACAGTTGTTTATGTTATTAAATATATAAAATATGACTCCCCAAAGCTATATAACATAGCAGCTAATAGCATAGGCTTATAATCAAATAAATGTGGTTATACTTCCTGCTTGGTCCTTTACTTGCTGAATAAACATGTAAACTGTTCTTTATCACACTGTGCCTCAGCTTGCTCATCTTTGAAACAATAATAGTGCTGGTGTCTATCTTGTGGGATTATTTGAAAGTTAAATCAGCTGAAGCACGCAAAGTACTGCCCCAAAGCAACAATATGGTAAAGACTATCATATGGTTTGGATGTGAGGTGCCCCCATAAAACTCATGTGTGAGATAATGCAACAATGTTCACAAGGTGAAATAATTAGATTATAAAAACTTTAACCTAACCAGTGGATTAACCACTTGAATTGGGTGGTACCTATAGGCAGATAGGAAACTGGAGGAAGTAGATCACAGGTGGCATGCCTTTGGGGTTTATATTTCATCCCTGGCAACTTACTTTTGCTCTCTCTTCTTGTTTGTCATGAACTGAGCATCTTTCCTCCACCAAACCTTTCCACCGTGATGTTCTGCCTAAGCTCAATTCCAGAGCTATTGAGTTGGCCAACAATGGCCTGAATCTCTGAAACCATGAGCTAAAATAAAGTTGTCATCTAAGTTGTTCTTGTTGGGTACATTGATCAGAACAATTCAAAGCTGACTAAAATAACTATCATGATAATTGCCATTACCATTATAGTAACCATCATTGTTCAAATTTCTAATGTTTAAATAATAGTGCCAAGTGCTGATTTCAATATGTAATATTCGCTCATTCTTTCAATTCTTAGAGCCAACCCAAGAAACCATTAATACTATCGTCCTTGATGTATAGAAGAATAAATGAAAGTGAAGCTGGACATGATGGTATGCACCTGTATGTACTTCTAACCACCAAGGAGGCTGAGTTGGGAGAATAATTTGAGCCCAAGAGTTAAAGACCAGTCTGTGTAATATTTTTTGATTCATCTCACAAAAGTCAAAAGTACAGATGGTAGGCTTACTTACCATATTTGTAAAGCTTCTAAGTATGTACATGGGAATTCAAATAATCTCATGTGACCATGCATTAATCACTTAAAATAATTATTAAATGATTCTATAAGTTTCTTTTCTAACTCTGTCTACAACTTACTTTAATAAAAAGTACCTTAAATTAATAGTTCTGTCTCACAGACAGTAAGATAATTTCATATTAAAATACACCAACATAGACAGTAACAAATTCATATTAAAATACAGCAACAAACAACCTCAATATGATAGTCCTTAGGTGTTTAAACTTAGGCTTTCTTTTGCCTTCAAAATTTACTTTAATAATTTAAAGTACCATTTATACAGCAAGTATACCAAATAACACATGTTGAGCACTACATATGTATGTAATTTGTCCTTAGAATAACCCTCTGCAGTGCATGCTATTATTATCTGTCATTTATATATTTATACATAACAGGGATTGAACCCATGGGTGCTCAACCACTAAGCCACATCTCCAGTCCTTTTTTGTATTTTTATTTATAGACAAGATCTCATAAAGTTGCTGGGTCTGGCTTTGAACACAAGATCTTTCTGCCTCAGCCACATGATTTACTGGGATTACAGTGGTGTGCCATGCCCAGCTATTATCTGCCCTTCAGAAGAAAGGTAATTAAGGGCCAGAGTGACTAAGTATGCCTTCCCAATACCACAGGTAAATCAAGGGCAGATCTGGTTTAGAGAATTCTAGATTTTTTGGTCCAGATTCTGTGCTTGTCAGCACCATACAACAATGTATAAAGTCCTAGACACCAATGAAGAATTAAGAAGAGTGTTTGGCTGGATATATGCGTATCAGTATGTCATATGTGCAAAGGTCATCTTTCATGTGCCTTATGATGAATAAAAAAAGACTCATCTTCAACCCTTGGGAAGTAGGTGGCAATATGGTCATCGACATCTACTATCACTAATGTTTTTGCATTTCACCACTAAATTCATTAACTACTCTTTTTTTTTTTACACACAATGTAGATGCTAACGTATTAACTTGTGTATTATGCTTCTCTCAGTTTATTGGGAGCTGTCCTGGCTTGTGTCAGAAGACAATAGTGCTATCTATATCAGAATTAAAAACCCAATTTATTAGTAGTTTAATCTAATCTAGCAACAGATGATGGGTGGAAAATGAAGTAATGAGGTGAGGTTATGAAAACGTAATAATTCTTTTTATTTTTTAATTTTTGTTTTTTTTGAGACAGGGTCTTGCTAAGTCTCTCAGGCTGGCCTCAAACTTATGATCCTCCTACCTCATCTTCCCAAATAGCTGGGATTACAGGCGTGTGACTTCTAAAATGCTTTTTACTTGGACCAGTAAATAAGATAAAGTAATCATGTTGTTCAATTGTTCCCACAATGCTTATATTAATATCCTGATAAGTCTATATTACTCATATCTCCCTTTCACTTTCCACACAGTCTTTTTGTCTAGCGTTTATCTGCCATAGCTACCTGCCTGGAGGATTTCTCTTGCTTGGAGCTGTGAGAACTTTCCGGTTACTCTAGTTTTCCTATGGGATCTGAAACTCCTTCCAGAAGTGTTTCTTGACAGCTCAACTACATTGATTTATGCCTCAATACTTGTTGACTGGAGTTTCTCATTTGACCTGTGCTGCTGTTTCTATTATTGGTCACCTTTCTTTGTGTGACAGTCCCATCTTCCTCTTAGGACTTTGAGTGCCTTTAGGGAAGGAGATATTTTGTGCTATCAACCCTGTTCGCTCATTATGCCCAGTTCTATACCAAGCACTGGGCTTGGTATCATCTCCATAATTACTGCTCTCACCAGGAGGAAAAGGCATAGTTTATCAGGATCAGCAAATAACCAAAGAACAAGAAGAATAAATTGTCAGGTAGAAGCAAACTTAAAAAAGGAAAAGAGGCTTTGAGTTTTAATCCCTTGGTAAAACCAATAGCACTTTGTGTAAGATGAATCAAATGCTACAAGTCACCTATTTTTAAGCCATTGAAAATATTGTTATCCTGTTTTTGAGAGACTTTCATTGGAAATATTTCCCCCCCCTTGTTCTTCAAGTCTGTACCTCTTCATAAAAGACTAATGCAAGCCTAGCTTTCTTTTGCAGACCCCAAAACATTTAAAAGTCTCCCATAAATTATTTACATGGAAGCTCCAATCAGCAACATACCTGACAGACTCCCCAGCTGAAATGAAAGTTCACTGTGTAAAGGTGCCCAGGGAGGCTGGCCACCTCCCACTGTGAGGTTATAGACAGAACTAAGTCAGCACACATTACATGTCAGTGCCAACATCAGAAGGAATCAGCTCCTTTGATCTAGGACCTCCACAGGAAGCTTAGATCTCAGACAAATTAGATAAAAAATGAATTTATAGCAGATATGTGTCCTAAGGCATTCAGTTGAATGTTTGGGTTTTAGGGAAGGAAGGATAGCTAGTATCAAAACATATGAATTAACATGCCTTCTTCCCATCACTGCCTGGTTGATGAGTTTCCATTAGAAAGGAAAGAGGAGATTTCAAATTGCCTGTACCCATGCTTCATAGAGTTCCATTGGTAGGTATGATCAAGTTTTAGGGAGAATGAGACCAAATATGGGGCACATATATCCCTTCTCTACAAAATGAGGCCCTTACTGGCTTGGGGTGATTCCAGGTACACCTACAGTCTGATTTGGGGTGCTTCCAGGTAAACCTACAATCGGCTGCAATTTTTACAGCTCTTCTTAACATCTTGTGGCTTATGAAACTTTCAAGAGCAGTGAATATACACTATGGCCTTGCTTTTTAAGATTGCTGTGAGTACTGGTCGCTGGCTTCTTTTGCTATCAGAGCATTAGTAATGAATTTCCCTTCTATTTTTCTCATGCCAATTCCATGTGCAGTGTTCAGTGTTAGAAGACTTGGAGATTCAATAAGCAGTCTCAAAATAGTTGACATTTTTGAAGTCTAAA